GCTATTATTTTAACATCTTTATAATTGATTATAATTATTATGATTATTATATTCAATATATTAACCATCATCATTATCATCATCATCACCCATTACCATCATCAATGTTAATTGTTTTTTTTATTGCTACACCATAGTGAGTATAACTATGTATATGGTAGTGTTTTTATTGCTACATCATAGTGAATATAACATTGTATATGGCAGTGTTTTTATTGCTACATCATAGTGAATATAACTATGTATATGAATATGATAGTGTTTTTATTGCTACACCATAGTGAATATAACTATGTATATGGTAGTGTTTTTTTGTTTTTTTTTGATATGTATGATAGTTCCCAATCACAATTTATAGTTCTGATATCAGTTTTTTAAAATAATCATTTTACAAATTAATCCTAATATAAATTCCCATAAATATTAAATTTAATATCCATCTTCTCATTAAAACATACAAATATATTGAAATTATGACTTTTGTATCTAGGATTATACATTACCTACATCTAATATGATGCTTACAGTCTTGGCTTTACAAAGCATAATATCAAGAAGGTATAAATACCTCCTTGATAATATCATGTTTCTTTAACGTTTCCACTCTTTAATTCAAAACTACTGAATGATTAATGCCGCAGTAATAAGGTTTATAATTGATTGCCTAGATAAGACACATTATGCAAGCTAAGGTATAGAGGTGTTACTGTTATTAACCATTATTTCCGCTATAACTTGGAAATTCCTAATAGAATAATATTTGTGGTTATATTAAATGCTGTGTTTAATACATCAAGTAGTCTATTTCTGGCATAGTGTATTAATATGACTGCAGATCCTACGGCACGGATATAGAGGGTGGCAAAAGAGGTGCTCTCCCCGCATTTAGTAAAAGAAATCTCTAACCAAGCATGAGAGATTAATATTGGTAATAGATTTTTCTAGTGGACACCTCTGGAAATAGGGAAAGAACTACCAAACCCTCCACTACAGTAGTCGGTTGGGCAAGACAACACAAACTTTTTTGTCCCTAATTTATCTGCTGCCCTCTATTTTCTACAAACATGAACTCTATGATAGTTGATACTAAAACTCATTTATCAATTCATATGAGATGTGAGCATAATCATATTAAAGTATTAGATTTGGATTGTATCCAAGAAAATTATATACATTTTATTGTCAAAATATATTCTCATTTGTTCTCAATTTTATATGTTTATTGTGAATATATAGCCCTATATATATATATGTATAATGTAATGTAATGTTGCTACTTAACTTATGTTTATCACTTTAATCCCTTTCATTGTTTATCAATCCTTAATCTGACCGAACTAATTGAACCCTTTGTATTACCGCTCTGGCTTTCTGCGCATGCTCAGCTTATCTCAATCAAATGTATTTCTATGTTTTTTAGTCATTAGGCAATTTTATCTATCGGAACATGTCGGACCCCTTCTCTGCAAATTTCTGGACCACGTCCACTAATTAGAAGCCCACTGGCTTCTTTTCAAGATGGGCTTTTAAAGATTACTTTTGCAAACTGAAGAGGGGCTTCTTTTATAGATGGGCTTCTTCTCAAGATTAAGCCCATGGGGCTTCTATTCAAGCAGTATGCTATACAGGTATATATATTAAATATATAATTTTTTGGCATCATAGAAACTGATTTGTTGTCAGGTTGTCTTGGATGTTGTCACATGGTTTCTTCACTTTTTTGATATACACTATTTTTTTTTATAAGAACACATTTTATAAGAACACTGAGGCTGAAATTACTTAAAAATTAAGAACAAAATAAGAACAAATTGAGGCTAAGGTAAAATGTCAAATGAGGTTTTTATTAATTTTTTTTTTAAATAGGAAAACCAAAAAATTATATCTCCACCTTATGTACAATAGGTTTGATTATGTAATACCCTCTATAATACATACAATATAGTATACCTGTCATTTGGGGCCATTTTTACCGGACCTTCTTTCTGGTGCCTTTTTTTTCCGGGGCCTTTTTTTGGGGGGGGGCCATTTTAATCTACACTCCAGTACGGTAGTATACTGCTGTACAATAATGATTTTCTATGTTTGAAAAGTGTGTAAGTTAAGAACAAAATAAGAACATTTTGAGCCTGAAATCGGCCAAAAAATAAGAACAGTGAGCCTGGGCAAAATTTAACTGTTTCTTATAAAAAAAAAAGTGTAATCTTCCAAAGTGCCCAGTGAACAAGTCAACATTATTTGGCAATGACACCTTTTTTAAACAGGTTTCTGCATTATTTCCTAGAAAACTGTTGCAATGGTAATAAAATGCTCACTAACATCAATCATGATTGCTCCATCAATGCTAGAAAATAGCACCAAAGTGCTATGACATCATAAAATATTTTAAATAATCACATTACTATGAATAATAATAATTATAATTATAATTAAAGGATTACATCCATTCATAATACCACCCTGGGATCAATCATAATTTTAACAATCTGTTTCCTTGATCAATTAGATGAGGTACCCGGTAATCATTCAGTACAAATAACAATGGTGATTACCAATCTTAAAGATTTTTACTGAGAATTGTGGAGTGATAACTACATCATGGTGTATCCTCCATGGTTTATCCAAGAGATTTAACATGGATCACTGACCTCTAGGCTTTAAGCAGGAATCAAAAAGACAGTCGCTAAGCTCTTACATTAACAACTCTTTGCATTGACAGCAAGGCCTATTTACCAAAAACAATATATTCTGTAGGATCTAAGGATAAGGCCAAAAAAAAAATATTGTCTGTTTGCTTTCCTCCACCCGCCCCTAACTCACTGAAAAAATAGGGGTGAAAAAAACAAAAAACTTGAAAAAGTTGGTTTTTTTTAGCTTTTTTCTTTACAAATTAAAAAACAATGTGAGTGAATTTATCTTATTTTTTGCCAGATGCCCTACAAATTAGTCTAAAGTTGTTGTCTGATGTAAGATATTGCTATTCTAGGCCTCTGTGGGTTATTTTTATTTCATCTGATGGAGAAAAAAAAAATCCACCTGCCCCTTTTTATCTTTTTTGAAAATAGAAGGGCAATTGAACAAACAATTTATTTTTTTATGCCTAATAACAAGTACACTACTTTTCTTTGTCATTGACACTGCTTAAAAACAAAAGATTTCACCCAAATCAATGAAGCTTCATCAGGTGTAATTTTTATTGTATTTACTGACAGTAACATGGCTAGTCAACCATATTGCATATTTAATTTGTTATTAGTTTTCAATTAAAAATAGGTGTTGGTACTGATAATCATTTTAAGGGTTTGTATTAAAAGGTCTATAAAACTGTGAACAAATTTTGTTTTCTGCGTAGGCCTATTATTTGAAGTTGATAGCTTATATCCTTTATAATTAGCTTTTCAGTGTTTTTTAATTGCTATTTGTTTTAATGGTTTTCCATTTTTGTGACCAATTGTATAATCAGGAAAGACACCTGCTAAACTAATAGTAAGTATTTTTTAGTGATTAACTGAATTGTAATTCCTCGAAGTGTGCCCATCTATTCAGCTTTTTACAATCCATTACCATTGACCCTTTTGTACTATTAGTATGTTGTTTTGTGCATTTTCTTGTTGTGGTAAGCTATTACAAATTTAAGTTTGTTTGTTCCTGCTTCTACTTAGTGAAAAGTAAACTTTCACACTTGCTTTTCATTCACTTTGAAGAAGCTTTTTGTTGGTGTGAAGATTTTAAGTTAGCTTTTAACTTTTGTGAACTACTCAGAACAATAGAAACAGCTGGTAGACTACTAAACTAAGTTTTACTTTTGAGCATGCATGACACACTTTTAACTGCTGATAGAAATTAAATGATACAATTTTATGGAGTCAATAATGATAATAATAATAATAATAATAATAATAATAATAATAATGATACACTGTAGTAATAATAATAATATTATTAATAATAATAATAATGATGATGATGATGATGATAGTAATAATAATATTAATAATAATAGTGTAATGTTAGACTAATATAGCACAATATGCCGGAGCTTCCATGCACTTAAAAGACAAGTATGTTTACATCAAGCTCATAGCCAGTGGTTCGAAGGGTTCAAAACAACCCCCATTTCAAGAAATGCCCTTTTAAATTATTATTAAAAAGTACCATTTCCATGGAAAAGCTGTTGAAATTAACACCAAATATTTGGAAGTTAGCATTTTTATTGCCATTTCCGGACATATGAGATGTTATATCTTTAAAATTTACCCAGCCATGGTGGGGCTAGTTTGGTTAAGGACTCAAAGTGCCCTTTTGTGAAAAATTAAATCCTGTCCACAATAAAAGCTGTATGGACCAGTATACCGGGGTTAGGCCTACTGGGTTCTTTAAAATGCACATGAGGAAAATTGACACTAGGCCTACGGTTGATTTATTGTCCTTATCCAAGAAGACTTTTTTCATCACCAGAACCATAGGCAAATATGCCTTTCAAACCAGCGCCGATGTTATGGCTGTAGGTTGCGGTGGCCCTGCCTTAACCATTCAGCCATCGTACTAACTTAGCCAAAGACTTCGGTCTATATATATTTTTTGTATGATATCGCATATTATATTTTATATTCATGTAGAATTTTGTATGTTTTTGCATCAAGGAAGTATAATTTCAAGTATACCGGTTGTCTTCATAACACAACACAATAGAAATAAATTTATCTTTGTATGTTCATTTAGTATGCCTATTAATGCTAGTTTCAATAGCTTTGTTAGCATGAGTTTCTATTGAGGCAACTTTTGAATTCCCATGCAAAAGACCAGGGAGAGGGAGGGTATGATTTGAATTGAGTATTGAAGCGCAGCTGACTTTTTTTTTTTACAATCACCTAAAAAAGTCCAATTGTGGCTTCAATTTTGGCATGTGTGGAAAATTGGCCTTTTGATAAGCAATCAAAACCTTATTTTCCTGAACAGGGTATTCCCCAGCCTAACCCCAAAATTGTGTCATACCTGAGAAAATAATCAGGTCGTTTTCCATGGTGGTGAGCTCATCATAGGAACTATACAAGAGTGGTAGATCCAGGAATTTGAAATAGAGGGGCGCTTCACAAGTGGAGAGTCGACTAGACTGGCTGGGAATGAGGTAAGAAAATTTATGATTATGGAATTCCTCTTGATGACCAGAAATGGCACTCTCATTAATATTTAAAATAATTGGGTTTTTTTTCTTATTTTTTGTTTTTTAATTTTGAAAATTTTAGGATGGGCTTCCCCCTTGAACACTGTGTAATGAGAAGATTTTTTAGACTAAACATTGACTTCTTGAATGATCTCTTTATGATGGTCTTATAACCATTACAAATTACAACTTACTACAGTACTGTATTAACAAATTGGACCTTAGTCCAATTAGATTATAATTTGTGCATAATCACATTGTCCAATCATAATGTAGACACTTTACTTGTCCCAGTCACTCAATGTTAATTCCAGATAAACAATAGAACATCAACACTATTGCTACAGTTATTTACAATAACTAACAAGTAGGTTATAATCATCTCATATGTCACACAATAATTAACAATCTGTATACAACTTTCCTGTTGACCTAAACACTTTGCTACAGTATAAATAAACAGTACCACACAGAGCCATTGTGCTAAATGTTTTGCAAGCAATTTTGTTTCTCCGGTTGACTCTCTCACCAAATTGGATGAAGTAAAATATATTTTGCTCTTGTCATCTCATATTCCCTTTTTTTTGTTGTTTTATTATTCAATTTTTTCCATTTAATTATTATTATATCATAGTTCACTTTATTTGTCCTTTTGAAAATTTTGTTTGACATAATGTTATAAAGAAATGGAACATGTTCAAAATATTACTAATATTAGTATAAAATAATCTTAATCTACAGTAGGCCTGTATAAAAAAATTAGTTGAGTATATTAAATAACCTGATAGAATATGGAACAAACGAATTTGAGAAATGTTTTGTCATTATTTTAACTGATTATTATTACTTTTATTATAGTATATAGCTATATTAAACTGTTTAATGTTAGCTAAATCTCACTTTATTAAACTATTTAATCTTATTTAATTTAAATGAAATTTTCACATATGCCAAAAGTAAAATTAAAAAGGATGTGTTCTTCCAATATGCTAAAAAATATACTGTTTTTAACACTTTAGCCTAACTATTATTATTGCATCACAATAGTGAATTTTGATTGAATCAAATAAAACCAGATAATTCTCTGATTAATGATTTCCCAATTGAATTGTTTATGTCCAATTTTGTTATTTTTAATTGAATTCAATTATCATTATCTGTAGCGATTGCATTAATTTCATAAATTGAAATGAGTTATTTAATTGCTAATTTTTATGACCTTAAAAGTGGTTCATGACTTACAGGTACGTACTAGCACTAGCCACAGTTTCCGTAGTATCTGTTATGATATCGAATAATAATATGTGCGTCTAAATAAATGAGGCATGAAGCCATAATATAGCTTTATGATTTAGGTTATATGCTAATTACTGAAGTGCTCTCAATGTTTCATTTCAACATAGGAAGGAATGTATGTGAGCTCAGTGTTAAGTAGTTCCTTGGGTGTAAGCCAACTCACATAAAATTGTGAAATTGGGCCAAGTACGTACAGTAGGAGGGTTAGGCTTATACCCCATTTCTAGCCCTCTCTGTTATACTCCTACTTTGGGAGTCCTTACGAGGTCAGCTTTACCCACCAGAATCAGACATGAGCACCAAAAATGCCTGAAGCGCTAGAGGCGTGGTAGCCAATTTATTTTGTACAGTACTTGTGTTAAAAAAATTTTAAATGTGACGTGTGAATGTGGCTTAGGCGAGACTTTTTTTATACCTTGTTTCGCAAACCTATTTTTTTAAAGATCGTCAGAGGAGGGCGGACAAAAACAAAAATGACATTTTGGTTTTTCATTTAGCAAAGAGTTTTGCCAAAAACATCTAGACGGAGGAGAAAATAAAAATAAGATTCTATTGGTGAATGCATAGAACAAAGAAACATAGAGCAAAGTTTCTTTGCTCTATGGTGAATGTAAACAGTGTAGTAATGGGATGGTTAAACGTCATTAATTTATATGAATCGAAAGAAATATGCATATCTTATTTTTGGATATTTCAAGGCAGCAGTGTGCGTAATAAAAGAAAAAAAAAATTTTTTTCTGAAATTTCTATTTTTACATGCCGGCAGGTGCACTAATTGCCAAAAAAAAAAAAAAATTTGTTTTTATTGGAAATCATCATCATTGGCGGGCAGTGGGTTCGCTAAACAAGGTATAAAGAAGTCTCGCCTTAAAACTTAGCATTGTGTTTGATAAAAATTATAGAAGTTAATGGTAGGTTACCCAATATGAGCTTATAAAACTAAGCAACTATGGTGCATACAATTGTGAGAGAAACAGTTACCTGATGACATAAAACTAAAATTCTTTCCGAGCCACTGGGGCTCATAGGACTGGAGCTTATCCCCAGTTGGTAGTGTAAAGCGGATGAGAGTTGTACTCCCACTGGACGGGACACTAGTCCGTCGCAGGTTAGTCCCCAGCAGTTTGCTGGTACCCATTGATACAGCTGGGTGGACTGAAGCAATGTAGCTAAAGTGCCTTGCACAAGGACACAAGCGAATCTGCACAGCGAAGACTCGAACCTCCGACCTTACGATTGAAAGCCCAAACGTCAACCGCTGCGCCAAACTGCTGCTATGATGATGACATAATTATTGTCAAAATATTGAATCCTGACACGATGGCGTGCATTTCGATACTTGGAGTATGTAATATACTATCCTACAGTTTGGCACAGTCTTTGTTTAAATAGTTCATGTAAACTGATACGAACTACATCGTTGAAAACCATTGACAATTGTTCTAATTTATGCATGGCTATGAGAATGATTAATCAGTGATAGTTTGAGTTATAGCTAACTGTGTGTTATGTAATAATTTAGGATTCACACACCATCTGTTCTAAAGATTTGAAGCTTATATTTTATTTGCAACATGAATCCATATGAAACACTGACATTTTTAGTAGGATAAGTTCTTCTGTTCATAGTCTACATGCATAAATATTTTTTTTCCAAAACAATAAACTTCATTTCTGTTTTTGTTGTTAAGTGATTGTTTGATTTGTGTTATTTTCATTGTTTCACTTTACTGGTGTTTCAACTTTTAATCTTATCATAATTACCATATATCTCTACTTTTTAAATTTTTATTAGCTTATGTGTCACAGTCTTTTTGTTTACTATCCCACTTATTCAGCCTGTTTTTTGGTTTTTATTTGTGTATAAGAGACAGATTGGATTGGATTGGATTTATTCGGTGTAAACACCTAGGATAGCCCACGAAAGTCTAGAAGTAGACTTATTTCCAGTGGGTTCCTTCAGTGGGTGATTGGACAGTACACCGGGAGACAATCCCCTACTTCTTTCAGAAGAGTGTACTGCATTCTTTAACATGCACAGGGCCATAAATGCACACAGGAGCAACTGCTTAAACGTTTCATCTGAAAGATGGTGCGCTGTTGTAACCAGGGCCCCCGAGGGCGGCCACGGGCCCTGGGGCATCTTTGCTGGCCGGGCCAATTAATTGGGGGTCTGGGGGCCCCAGTGAGATCGATGGGAGATGATCCCTGATTTTCCCCCAACACCTTGGAAGCTACGGCCTTTTAACGGATTAGAGAACTAACTTAATCGACTGTAGGCCTAGAGTGCTTAATTTTACCAGGTCATAAAAAATAAAGTACAGAAACAAGAAAAGTCAAAGCTATCCTTTCTTTTACTCAAACGTGCTGAAAATATTCATAACATAGGTATCAAATTTACAGGGATTTGAAATAAAAGAGGCCCAGAGAAGGACTTTTACAATGGACGGTCTATCTAACTCAGCCCCACCATGGTGGCTGAGGTAAGAAAAATTAAGCCTATGTTTATGGCACCTCTGGATGGACAGAAATGGCACTGTTAGACTTAAATTTGAATAGAATTTTTTTTTTTTTTTGGTTAAAATTTGGTGGGAACCGGGCCCCCTTAAATCCGCCACTGGTTTAATATATTAATTCAGTGTTTATTTGGGAATTGATTCTCTATCAGGTCTATTCATATTTATAACTTGTACAGTATGTATATTGACAATGTCCAGGGTCCAAGCCTTTTATAATTATAAATTAATAATGTAAAGAATTTACTATTTGATACATTGTAAACATAAACTCTAGAGTAGCAGAAGCAATTAATGCATTTAATAATTTTTATTCATTTATTTTATTTTATTTTTTTACCTAGTTATCATGGGCCCCTACTGGGTCCTGGCCCCGGGGCACTTTCCCCGGTTATCCCGGCCTCTCGGCGCCACAGATTCTAACTTGTATTTCAGCAGTCTAGCTGAAACACAAGGAGGGGTATCGATTGGAATTGAACCAGGGACCTAGAGATCTCGACGGTTCAGTGCACACACAGTGACTACCACCAGATTAACCGACTGAGCTAAGTTGCTCTCACCATTGTAATTTTCAAAACTTCAGCTCGTCAATATCACTGGTTTCACATCTACATACTGCCCAGTTTTTTTCATGTTTTCTTTGGAAAATGTAAATTTCTCTGGTAGGCCTATAAATAGCGAGCAATTGCTTCACAGTAATAGGCGGCTGACCTTGGAAGGTGTTTTGACTACACAACTGGATGGAGCTCCCCAGGGAGCAGAGGAGGTTTGCCACCATGGCTGCATGATGCTGTCAAGTTTTCTAATTTCAGGGAGGTTGTTTGCTAGCACAAATTATTTGCTAATAATATACCCAATGGCCAGGAATGATAATGGATTGTAAAAAGTATAGGCTTATACAAAATAAAAAAAGCCTTAATATTAAATAACATTTGATTGTTAGATTATTATTATCATATAATTATTACACAAACATCATTTTTCTAATTAGAGGAGCCAGGGTAAAGAGTACAACTTGAGAAAACGCATAGCATTGGAAGTAATTTGCGATATATAAGAACCAGTAAAAGTTTGCTCAGGCTCAATGTTTTTCTTTTCTTTTATTTTTGCATCAATTTCAGGTTCTTATTTTATTCTTATTTTTAAGCAATTTCAGAATCCAGCTTTCTTATAAAATGTGTTCTTATAAAAAAAAAGTGTAGTGCCAGAATATCAAGTAATTTCTGAAAGCCATTTTAAATGCCAAATAAATATTTTATTTTTGATATTTTTTGTTTAATTTTTTAATATTATATTTTTATTATTTTTTTGTTATTTTGTTTATAGTTTGTTAGTAAAGAACTTTTTACCATTTATATTCTTGTGTACTCTGCAAGACCACACCACTGACTGTGAATGCCTCCTATTATTAATGTGTAATGTCACCTAATAAATAAATTAAATATTTGTTATTGTTATATATATATATATTATCACTGTTTTTATTATCATCATCATCATCATTATTAGCTCAATAATTTATCAATTTTTATTTTGGAAAACATCTTTAAAAACATTAATATGAAATACTGCCCTCCATCTTTTGGCATTGTTGAACAGTAACTCACAAAATGAATTGTTAATTTAATCACATTTGTTGGTAATCGGGCTGAAAGTAACCAATTGTGAAGCCATGCATCAATCCATGAGATAAATGTCCTTATGGTCTCAGTTTTTAATTGCTTTGATAATTTTCACTTCTCTCTTGCAGTACCTTGATGCTCAATTTTGATTGGCTTTGTGCCAAATGTCATACTGCCATCAGTGGACAAGCCATCACCTAATTTTGTGGGCATGAGGTATCACCATATATGGGCATAAATTATTTCTTTGTCCCTTATACGAGAATAGATGAAGAGTTACAAGTTGATGTTGAGTCTGCCTCTTACTCATCAAATCATTTTGGTAGTGGTTTTTGTGTGCGTCTGTTTTGTTTTGTTTTGAGTTTTTTTTTTTTTGGAAAGAGTGTAAATGAGAAGAAAAGATGTTTAAAATTAGAAAACCTTTTTGATTGCGTTTTTTGTGTGTGTGGTATGACTCATTTAGTATTCATGTTTTGGTTGGATGTTTAATAGAATATAAATAACGTTGAGTCACCAATAATCCCACCATATAAGGGAGCTGCTTCATATATGATGAAGAAACTAATAAAATATAGACCTTTTATTTATTCTTTTGTTATTTATTTACCACATATATTTTCTATAGTAGTATTATTGTTATTGTTATTTATTTTATTACTTAATTTATTTCAATTTTCTTTTTATATTGTATTATTGATTTGTGTGTGTGGTGGTTATATTATTAGCCATAATAATTTTCGGGTCTTCATCTTCCCCTTTTAATAATTCCCGGACAAAATTATAGCTATAAGAGAAAAGTACTATATAAACTTCTGTGTCATTTTCAAAATTTGCTCTCAATGAAAATTAAAGTATTTATAAATAGCTAAATTGAAATCAAAGTAAATAAGAAATGTAAGGCAATAATATTTTGCGCCAATATGTATCTGACAATAACAATATAAATAGCAGCAAGAATGAAATGAAGTAAATCATTAATGCCGTTAAAATATTTTGCCCATCAATACAAAACCTGACAATAACAATATTTATAAATACAGTAGCTATAACATTGAAATTGAAGTAATTAAAATAACACAACACTGTGTGGGTTACATTCCATTTTGTAGGTCTATAAGCACAGTTACCGTAATTGTTTAAACCTGACATCCTGAATAATTTTATTTTTTTCACTCTATACTTTCACAATTGTATTCCACTTTATTCCTAAACTGATTTTTACTATGGCCATGTTATTGTGGCACATTTTTACCAGGCCCATTTTTACAGGGATAACCTAGATTTAATAGGGCCATATTTAATATCAACTGTACTATATTTAGCAAAGCAAATGGGCCATATTTACTGAAGAAATTTAAACTGAGTCATGAAGCAATTTAAACTAGATCATATTTATGTTCTAGTTCATCAATTATATAGATTACAGCCCTACAAATTGGTGATAACAATTGCATGGTGATGAATGATAGTTAATCTACCCTACCAATGAAACCACACAATTAAAGCAAATTAAAGCAGTGTGGTAGAGTGGTATGGTTTGGCTTTCCAATTAAGAGGTCAATGGTTCGATTCTGATGTTGCATCCTTTATTCCAGCATCACTTCTTTCCATCCAGGGATGCCTAGCAGGAGGAAATCCATCTGCATCGGGATGAGTGCCGGGAGTAGTTTTTGCATATTGCACATCATTGCCTGTGGATCTAAATTTACAGGGAACTAGAAAGCCCTAGAATAGAAAACTATATTCATTTGGCACTGTACAAAAAATAATTGTACATCATAATCATTGGTATCATCATCATCATCATAATTATCATCATTATCATCATCCTTGTTATTATCGGATATTACAATTCTTAAGTTTGTGTAATAATTTTCTAACCAGGGTAGCACCACATTTCATATATTGTACTACAGCTCATCAAATTTCTCTTCTTTTGATTTTTTCTAATTGTAGAAAGGCAAGCCAAGCATTCATTCTTGATGATCGAATTTAATGTCAACTACTGTAATTAAAATAGGATAGAAATGTGATTCAGCACAACATGTTTCACAGTTAATGATGAAGATACGAAGAGTCATCAACGCTGTGACGTTACATTTACACAGTGTTAACCTTGAATCACGATGAGTAATAATGACTCAACTCGCAAACATATAACCACATCTGCTGGCTCTTGTGAACTATGTAGTATTTATCATTTATATTAATTATGTTGGTCTACTTGAGAAAAATTACCTGACATTAATTTTTTGTTTTGTAAAATCCCCATTGACGAGAGCCAGCAATTATAAGAATCACAGAAGTCTCACGGACACTGGTGTATTTGTATAGCTTGGAAAATCGCATTCACAATCTTAATTGCACTCAAGCCCTCTATTGACTCAAGTAAAAAATAGAGCACAAGATAAAATTACAAATTATATTACAGTATATTAATAGTGTAATTGGTGCTCTTTTATCGAAGTCCCTAGAAACACAAAATTCCCTCCCTATTCAAAATTTTAAGAAAAAATTTCATTTAAAAAAAATGGGATATGACAGTGGTTAAATGTTTAGCACATACTGTTAAATATTTGCCTCTTTTCACCCAGTTTTTAAATATTCAAAAATCTGTATCTCATCAAATACTGTATGCATTTTTGTGTCGTATAAAAATCAGCTTTACAACATATATATAAAAAAAAATTTCCTCTTGAGTATGGCTTTAACTCCAAACAGATTTATTAGGCTTACAAGTAAGTAGACCTCTTTGTACAGGAGTTAGAAGTTTCAGTAACTAGGTAGTAGTAGAGGCCACAAACAACCTCTAATCAATAAAAAAAAAATTATAATGTAGAAATTTCAGGATACTGTTTAAAAACTGATATATATTCCTGAAAATGGCACAATAAATTCAAAGCATTGATATCATGTCTGTTTCTTTGAAGTTATGTTTATAATTCTCTGTTCTATGTGTTTTTACATAATAAATATATGAATGAAATATAAATACAGTGCATAATATATAATTCTTTAAGATCAATTACAAGTATAATTACCCCATGCCAGACAGAATGTAGGTAAGAATGGCCCCGGAAAAAATGGCCCAGGAAATAATGGCCCCGGGAAAAATGGCCCTGGAAAAAATGGCCCCGGTAAAAATGGCCCTAAATGACAAGTAGGTAAAAATGGCCCCAATGGAAAAATTTAGTAATAGAAATGGTATTTTTTTTTAATCTTTAAATATTTAAATACTGAAAATGGCAAGAATTGAATAAATAAATAAAAAATGGGCCCCAATTAGAAAATTCAATAAAACAAATAATTTTTAAATGCTGTAAACTACCCTATCAAAATAAACCATATGCATATTGGAAAACTACTTAATTTAGCTCCTATCTCAAGGAGTACCCTGCTGATTGATTAATTAATAGATCTTTTTTGTATGAGAGAAATTCACTTCTGTATAAATGAAAATAACTTTACATGAAATGAAATAACTTTACATGTTATAAACAATGCAAATAAACAGTTCAGTTAAAGTATATGTGCATTTGAATCACATGTTCATGTATGGCAAAAGGGAGAGGCCTACTTTCTCACAAACCATCAATATGTTCTTTCTAGGGTTACTTCAAAGAAGTATTCTTAAATATTTATTTTAGTAACTGAATAATTACGAATACAAAAATATAAGCAATTAATTTAGTTTGCCCTATTATCTCTATTGTATATCTGTCTCTTATACACATCTAGATGTGTATAAGAGACCACAATTTAACTGAGATATAAGTCAGTACTCTATTTTTGTAAATATAGCAATTATGCTAAGAATTAAAATGGAGTGTAATTGTGAGGGTAGGGTAATTATGGTATGGTTAAATGGTATTTGGTAAATGCCACAAACCTTCCAAAAACACACTGTAGAAAACCAAACAATTAAATTGTGATTGACTCATGTGGTATATCAAAAATTAAATACATTCATAAGACCCTATTTTTTTGTTAAAATGTTGACTTTTTTAATAAAAAATACTTGCAAATACACCATAAACCTCCAAACATGCTGCGAACCTCATTCAAACCCTGTTAATATGATTGTAGGACTCTTAAAAATAATTGACGTTCAAAACAATCCATTGTTTGTGGGGGTTTACTAGTACCCACAAACAATGGATTGTTTGTGGGGGTTTACTAATACCCAGACTGAATTTCTGTAAAAAAAATTGTGATTTTGCTTCCGTGAAACAATATTGTTTTATAATAATTAATGTAATAATAATAATAATAATAATAATAATAATAATAATAATAATAATAATAAATAATAATAGTAATAATAATAGTAATAATAATAGTAATAATAATAAATAATAATAATTATCATTATAATAATTTTATTCTATTGCTATTATTATTATTATTTTTAAGTTGTTAATAATCATTATTAGTATTATTATAATTATTATTTTTTTAATTTACTAAGATGTTACTATTATTTAACTGCAAAAAGGAAATCTAAATGGCAATTTAATTGATGTTTTATTTTTTTTTTTAATATTATTATTAATTTTTATTAAGTTATTTCTATTTTTTTAAGTGCAAAAAAGCAAAATAGAAATGGCAATTTACTTGATAAAAAAAATGAATGAGAGCAGCACTTTTAAGACTAATAGAATAAAATTTATTCTCGAGCTTTCATCCACACAGTGCAATTTTATTTCTTGGTTTTTATAAATACTGTAGTTTATAGATTTGATATATTATTTATATTATTTATTTCACATCTGATTAGATGCGATTGCTTTTTCTTATGTATTGACTTTAACATGTTTTATGCTATTTCCCACCTGTCTCTTATACACATCTAGATGTGTATAAGAGACAGCGTTTGCGATGATAGGCGTTAGAGTTAAGCACGCCAGCAGTTTAATACAATTTACCATTGAAGGCTGTTGCGCCTATAGGGTTAGGCACGTCAGCAGATTATCGTTGAACAGATGTTTGCAACGATATTCGTTATAGTTAAACACGTCAAGCGTTGGCGCCGATAGGCGTTACCGTTAAGCAATTTAGCACATTACCATTTAAAAGGCGTTTGCAATGATAGGCATTAGGGCTGTCTCTTATACACATCTAGATGTGTATAAGAGACAGGTATTATGTTATAAAATCTTAAAATAATTTTTACCTACTTGTCATTAGGGGCCATTTTTACCGGGGCCATTTTTTCCGGGGCCATTATTTCCTGGGCCATTTTTTCCGGGGCCATTCTTACCGTACACCTGCCAGGCACCACCATGGTATACAATACAAATCCGTAAAACAAATAATATACAATACAGTTGTAAAGTAATACAAAATACAATACATCATAAGCAAGACATTTGTTTATTCATTCTTTTCATTATTCTTAAATACAGAATATGAACTGGTTTCAATAGTTGTTCAGCTTAATTCGGAAGTTAAAAAAACTAGGCATAATACAAGTCATTTAATGTGAAATATGAATTCCTGTAATGATTTTATGGAAATTAATTTTGGTATTGTTGAAAATTGAAATTTACAATTTCTGTGTAACTTAAGTTTAAGAAGTGATTTAATAAAATTTGTATGTAGCATTTAAAATATTTTTTTTGAAGGTTGATCTTGACTTTAAGTATTATTTAACTAAGTTCCTGATTAATATAATATAAGAATATTGAATACTGAGTTGGTTTACTGCCTGTATGTTGAACCTGGTTCAACTTTCCCTACTTCTTGAGCATACCCTCTTCATACCCCCAGGCTTTCTTATTCTGATGAATCACAACATGCATTAATGCAATGAAATCAGAAACCAAATCAATCCATGCACTCACCATTAATTAAATGTGAAATCATAGAACCAGAAATAATTAAATAATCGTATGATAATCCATGTATTGATATTCTGAAGATGAATCTACTCTAGTTATCAATTCTGTATCAATAATTTTGTTTTAATCATTAATCTAATTTTTATAATGCTCTTTTTATGATCAGTGATAACATTCCCTTGTCAACGACTTAAGTTCAAGTCACGACACAAACGGGCAAATGCAATATAATAAATACACAGTACTGTATGTATGTATGTACCTAAAAAAGAAGCAATTTTAACAAGTGTACAAAAAGTACTCTTTTTTTCTACCCCTCAACCTCTCCGAATGTGTATAAAATTTTTAATTTGCCACGTTTAATTAATGTTAATGCAACTCTATGATCACGATGGAAACTGTCAACCAATCAAATGTTTAGAATGATGCCAAAAAGGCCATAATTCTTGACACCACTAACCCAAAGCTGACAATGTTTAAACATGAAGTCTCTACAAATCCCCCAAACTGACCTTAGGATGAAATAAGATATGTATTTATTCCTCCATCTTCTGAGTAACCAATTGTTACATAATAATTTAGAGAAGAAATTTGCATTTTATCAATCTAAATAATGCTTTAATTGTACACCAACCAGATCAATACATTTTATCAAATTATAACAAGCTCTAAAGTGGCCTTAGGTTTCTTATTCCAACTTTTCATGGTTGCATCAGCTTCATTATTAACAGTAATTACTTCATAAAAATAATGTTAACGATACATGTGCATCTTGTTAAGCTAATTAGTATTATGATTGGAATCTGACCTGTGTGCTCAGTCAAGTTGGGTCCTTGGGCTAAGATAGTATATATTACATAATTTGTTCTTATATTAAGCATCTGTGCTGTTAATCGGATAAGATTAAGTATAAATTAAGGATCTAAATAACCAGTAGGGGAAAGGACCACTGGGTGTGTGTAGACCTTGTTCTGGTCACAAATATCGTACAGCAGGTTAGTACATTTAATACCTTTAAAAAATATACCAAAACGTAAAACCATTTGGAAGTTGATAACTCATGTGAATCTTTTATATGATAATTTTTTTCCTAATTTTCTTTATTTTTTGTTAATTCCTGCAGTCTCAAAGAAAAAAATAATAAATAGAACCTATCATTTATGAAGAACTGGATGCTAAAGAAGTCTATACAGTTTTTATTTTTTTATTATGACCTAGGTGAGACTTTTTTTATACCTTGATTAGCAAACCCACCAACTGAAAATATTGTTGATGATTTCGAATAAAAATACAATTTTATTTCTGGCCAGTTAGCGCACACACTGCAATAAAAAAGTGGAAATTTCAGGAAAAAATAAAAGTTTTTCTTTATTTTTATTACGCCCTCCGCTGCCTTGAAATCTCCAAAGATAAGATATGTATATTTCTTCCTAATTATATAAATTTGAAGCATTTAACCATCCTATTTTATATTCAGCAATAAAATTTTATTATCTAGATGATTTTGGCAAAACTATTTTCTAAATGAGAAAACCAAATTTTATATTTATTTTTATTCCACCTTCCTCCAATAATCTTTAAAAAAATAAGTATGTGAAACAAGGAATAAAAAGAGTCTCGCCATGTATTTGTTAATTTCTTATTTTATAAGTAAATGGAAATGGCCCTACTTACCCAATCATGTAAATTATTTATTAGATGAAATTACACCTTTGTATTGTGGTGCAGTCTTACCTAGTACACAAGAATATAAATGGTAAAAAAAATCTTAACTAACAAACTTAAGATAAATTAAACAAATAATATGCTGATAAATAAAGTCAATAAAGTAAAATAATAAACAAAATGCATCAAATAAGCAAATAAAACAACAACAAAACTCCAATGGTACAGTTATATAAAAATTAGCAAAAGGAGCAAGAGAAAACGGAAATCATTCTGTCTTCAGTGAAGAATGCTAAATAAAAGTAGTTAAACATATTTATAGATAACAATTAAGTGATTCAGCATCCGTGTCACAATTCCTGTGTTCAGAACACATTTTTTATAGGATCATTCCCACAGAGTT